TGTATTTAGGTCCACAACTGCGGACGGCATAATAACTAAAAGCAGATTTCCCTTGTTTTGTGTGAACCCTTGGTATTTCTAACTGACTTGATCCGAATGATCTGAGTGGTCTGTTAGGTGTATATTCAGTGAGCATATATGCAATGTATTTAGGTCCAAGGCCATTGTAGAAATTTGTCTTTGTTTCCAAATGCAATGACTTCAGTTTTCTGCTTGTTTAAAGGCAAAATATGTACGATTTTTTTTATTAAAATATCGAAAAACCACTAGAACAGTGTTATATATTTTGCTGACTTGTGTACTTGCATTATCCCAAATTATTCGAAGAATGTTTAAATCCATAGAAATAAGCAATTTATAGTGACACGGACCGTAGGACACCAGCCCTCCAGGACCGAGTTTGGGCACCCCTGCTTTAATATGTTGTGCGTTTTAATAGACCGGTCACAACCGCACAGAGTAACATTATAACAGAACTTTCAAATGTATCTAGTATGATAAAACAGGGCTGCTATTTTTTCCCACATATGCACGACCGGAAGGAGTGGAAGTGGTCGACTGTGGCATAATCCACCCTGCTGGTGATAAAGGCATGAACAAGTTTCTCCAAGTCTTGACCCTAAACAAAACATCTAATTCTTGCAATGTTTTTGAGATGATAGTATGCTGATTTAGTCACTGCTTTGACATGACTACTGAAACTAAGGTCTGTCTCCAGAATCACACCAAGATTCTTGACTTGATTTTTAGTTGTTTGACCCCTAGAGTCAAGGTATGCATTCACCTTGAGAAATTTGTCTTTGTTTCCAAATGCAATGACTTCAGTTTTCTGCTTGTTTAAAGGCAAAATATGTACGATTTTTTTTATTAAAATATCGAAAAACCACTAGAACAGTGTTATATATTTTGCTGACTTGTGTACTTGCATTATCCCAAATTATTCGAAGAATGTTTAAATCCATAGAAATAAGCAATTTATAGTGACACGGACCGTGTCCATAGTGTCATTGTGTTGCCTGCCAATGACGTCATAACCCCTCGATTTCCATTTTCTTTTTTTGTAGAAAACATGGAAACACCAAAGATGCTTTAATACAGGGGTGCCCAAACTCGGTCCTGGAGGGCCGGTGTCCTGCAGAGTTTAGCTCCAACCCTAATCAAACACACCTGAAGCAGCTAATCAAGGTCTTACTAGGCATACTAGAAACTTCCAGGCAGGTGTGTTGAGGCAAGCTGGAGCTAAGCTCTGCAGGACACCAGCCCTCCAGGACCGAGTTTGGGCACCCCTGCTTTAATATGTTGTGCGTTTTAATAGACCGGTCACAACCGCACAGAGTAACATTATAACAGAACTTTCAAATGTATCTAGTATGATAAAACAGGGCTGCTATTTTTTCCCACATATGCACGACCGGAAGGAGTGGAAGTGGTCGACTGTGGCATAATAAAAGCTCCGCTGCTTTCGAGCCGTGTGTCCCGCTGGTTCAGCGGCCTCGTTTCACTTCGATGGCTTTCAGCCTCACCCTGCTTCGTTCTACTACATTAATAAATCATTAGCTCATCCATGAACATGATTTCTGCTCGAGTCCTGTCGGATTTCATCGGCTGTGGGGATGAAGACAACAACTCCCATGACTCCACACTCAGTCACGGCGTCATCAAACTACGCCTTTGTCTGCGAAAATTACATATTGTGCCTTTAACTGAAGAAAGTTTTGGCTCATCCAACTGTTTATTTCATCAATGCATTGACAGAGGGAGTCAATGGGGCTGTAGTCATTTGGAGATAAGGCTAGGTAAATCTGGGTGTCATCTAGCTGTGATAGGCAATTTGGTTCTTTCTCATTATTTGACTTAGTGGGAGCATATACAGGCTAAACAAGAGCGGTGTAAGAATTGAGCCTTGTGGGACTCCACAATTTCATGGATGTCCACTTTGACTTATGCTCTCCTATACTCACATAATAACCTCTCCCTTCTAAGTATGACCTGAACCATCTGATTACCACCCCAGAAAGCCCAACCCAGTTTTCCAGTCTCTAGAAGTATGTTATGATTGACAGTGTCAAGTGCAGCACTGAGATCTAGATCTATTTAAGGTGCTGTACTATTTCTTCCGAAATTTTGCTATCAATTGCTTCAAAAACAGACATAGTAACTGCTTTTTGAAATTGTGGCCGAATCTGTCTGACCTCTGCATAACTTGAGGATGTGCTAATCGCCTTCCTGATATTAATGATCTTCTCAGAAAAGAAGGAGCAAACTCATTGCATTTGCTGTCAGAGAGCATTTCACTGGGAATCTGACTTGGGGGGTTTGTTAGTCTCTCAACAGCAGCAAAAAGAGTGTGAGTGTTGTTTAAGTTACTGTTTATAAGGTTTGAGAAGAATGACTGTCTAGCTTTGCCAAGTTCCACATTGAAAGCACGAAGGCTGTCTTTATAGATGCTATAGTGAATTTCAAGTTTCGTCTTCCGCCACATCCGCTCAGCTTTTCTGCATTGTCTTTTCATACTCTGTACTGCTGTGATAATTTACAGTTTGACTCTCCCAGTTTGACTGTCTGTGGTTCAGTGAAGAGGTGTCATCCCTTCTTTCAATGTGGGGTGATGCATCGATGCAGACTATACCACAGATGCCACAGCTACACATAGCTACCCATAGAGTTTGCAAACTGCTCTCAATTTATGGATACAGTATTAAATTGTTTTATAATAAAATGTGAAAAAAGTATTAAATATGACTTAAATATGATCGTGTTTCTATTACACTTTCTCGTGATGGTTCTGTAGGTTACAGTGTCTGAGTTGTGCATAAAAGCAGGAAGAAGCCCTTCACCTACAGACTTCATGCTCTAAATGACAATTGTCTCATGCACAAGCTGTCTGTCCATCCAGCAGATCAAACCATGTTTCTGAAGAAAACCGACCGCAGCAGCTTTCGGTTTGACTCAGAAGCTGAACTTAAGTAAGACTAGTAATGTAAGATGCAGACACTTGGTAACTTTTTAAACTTTGTTTTTCCATGCACAACAATTGACTAAACTAAATGTATACCACAACTTTTAAAACACTAGACTTAGGCTAGATTAATATTATTCTACGTTTACATATTTACCACAGTCAGACAGTTATACTTTTCAAAAAGAAAGTCAATGTTTTCCACCATTATGAATGGTTCATATATTCACACACACACACACACACACACACACACACACACACACACACACACACACACACACACACATATCTTGTCCCCTTAGAATTATAAGGTTATATCTGAAATTTTTGTCAAAATTGAGTTATTCGCATATTCTTATTCTGTGACAACTTATTTACATTATGTGATTTAAAAAAAAAAAATTGTACATTTATTTTTTGTGTAAAGCATATGGAATGCAAAAACTTTAAAGGTCAATATTTCAAAACCATTCAGAATGCAGATAGAACTTACAATTCCAAGGTTGCGATGTGTATATATATATATATATATATATATATATATATATATATATATATATATATATATATATATATATA